CCTCAGAGTTTGTTCAAGTCCACAAACCTCTGTCTGTGACAGAGCCCCTCAGACATGGCTACTCTAGTCACTAGCAGATTCCGACAGTGGTTGCTTTCGTAATCGCTTCCAACATAAAAGCTCCTTAACGGAAACACGTCTTCTGGAATCTCTGCGTGACAGTTTCCGGCGAGGAGTGGGTGTTCTTACAGGAGGTCCTGAAACCTCTCCACTGTTTTCGCTGGAAGTGTCTCTGAGCCATCCCTCCAGCTCAGCTCCTCTCCCCCTGCTGGTTCCCTCATCAGCTGCTGCGTCTCTCCCAACCTGTGTGAGCCCTTTCACCTCCCTGTTGGTTTCCTCTTCAGCTGCTGCGTCTCTCCCAACCTGTGTGAGCCCTTTCACCTCCCTTCCGTCCGATGGCAGTTCCCTGACATCCACCTCCCCTCCAGGGCCCCCTTCACCCCCTCTCGCCCCCTCCTCTACGGGCGGTGAGGAGGCAAAACCCGGAATGAACTTCCTTCATCTTCCGATGTCTCGAACACTTCTCTCAACCTGTTGCGGTTCCTGGTCTCGAAGTACACCTCCTCCTCAGAGTCCATCTCCCCTTCCCCTTCCGAGTCCGGGAATCCTTCCAACTCCTCCCCTTCATCAGTGGTCCCAAAGTATTCCCTCCGGAACCTCTCCACAGGCTGAGGTTTCCTTGGGAACCTTTGATGGAACGTTTCTATCAATACCTCGTCATTGATATCTTCAGCCATTACCCAAGTGTTTTCTGACTCCGGTTCTCCTTCCCACGCTACCAAATACTCCACCTGATCCCCCTTCCACCTGGCGTCGAGGATTTCTGCCACATGGCTGCTGCATTCTCTTTCTTCTACGACCCGGTCCCAGTGGCCAGCCCTTCTCGTCCCCCTTCGTACGGTGACAGTAACGACCTGTGAAATACTGGGTGCAGTTTCATGTGGTTGGGTAACCGGAGCCTGAAAGCCACTGGGTTGACCTGTTGAATGACCTCAAAGGGACCCAACCTCCTGGGTCTTAATTTCTTACAACCTCCTTTGAGCGGCAGCCCTTGGGTTGACAGCCACACCCTATCTCCCACCCTTATGGTTTCACCTTCCCTTCGGTTCTTGTCTGCCTGCCTCTTGTATTCTTCCTTCGCCCTTTCTAAGTTGAGTTGGAGCTGACGATGGATTGCTTCCATTTCTTCCACAAAATGCTCGGCTGCCGGGACGCTCCATCTCTCCCCCTCTCCCCTGGGAAAGCCCTGGGATGACACCCATAATTAGCCAAGAAGGGGCTCATCCCTGTGGACACATTCTCGGCATTGTTGTAGGCAAATTCCGCCAGCGCCAACTTTTCTACCCAGTCATTCTCTCTGTCATTGACATAACACCTCAGGTATTGCTGGAGGACACCGTTTGCTCTTTCCGCCTGCCCGTTGGTTTCAGGGTGCCGGGCAGTCGAAAAATTGACCTCCACCTGCAGTAAGCTCATGAGCTTCCTCCAGAACCTGGAAGTAAATTGTTTTCCTCGGTCTGAGACCACCCTCAATGGCACCCCGTGCAACCTAAAAATGTTTTCTACAAATAACTTCGCTGTCTCTTCCGCCGTGACTGCATGCGAGCAAGCTACAAAGTGGCACATCTTTGTTAGTAGGTCTACCACCACCATGATGGCTGTTTTCCCTTTGGACTTCGGCAGATCAGTCATAAAATCTATCGACACTGCCTCCCAAGGTCGTTCTGGGGTTGGTAAGGGTTCTAATAGCCCCGCCGGCGCCCGCCTTTCCCCTTTGGCTCGCTGGCATTGCTCGCACCCTCTTACATACTCACGTACATCTTCCCTCACCTTAGGCCACCAAAATTCCCTGGTGACCAACCACATGGTTTTGTGTTGTCCAAAATGCCCCGCCGTAGGGCTGTCGTGCAACTGCTTGAGTACCCTCCCCCTTAACTCTCCTTCAGGGATATACAGTGCCCCTTTGTAATACAAAGCTCCATTTCTTTCCTCGAAACCCCCTGGTTCCTCTCCATCACCCCTAAGACCTCTGAGCTTATTCTGGGCGTATTCATCATTCTCTGTTTCCTCTACCAGTTCTCTTTGTCCCACCAATGCCGCCCCACACACCCAGCGGTCTTCTGGAATGACATGTCTCTCTTCGGGTGCCCCCTCCCCTTCCAAATATTCAGGTTTGCGTGAGAGAGCGTCCGCCCTAATGTTCTCTGGGCCTGGCACGTAACTAATCTCAAAGTTAAATTTGGAGAACTCCTGGGCCCATCTCACTTGCCGTTGGTTGAGCACTCGTGCCGTCCTCCAATACTCTAGGTTCTTGTGGTCAGTGCACACTTGCACCTTATGTTGTGCGCCAATTAGCAGGTGCCTCCATCTCCGGAACGCCTCATGAATGGCTAGTAGTTCTCGGTCATACACCGTGTAGTTCCTCTCGGATTTGTTCAGCTTTCGCGAAAAAAGGCACACGGTCTCCACTCTGACCCCTTCTTGCCTGGCTGCAGAAGCACCGCCCCAATCGCTCTGTCTGATGCGTCAGTTTCCACTCTCATCGGTTTTGTAAATCCACATGCAGGAGTTGTTGTTCCGAGGCGAAGGCCCTTTTTAGTTCCTCAAATGCTCGCTCCGCCTCCTCAGTCCACACGAACTTCTTCTTACTGCTGAGACAGTCCGTAATGGGCGCCGTCAGGTGGGCAAAGTTTCGGATGAACTTACGATAGAAGTTCCCAAATCCTAGGAACCTCTGCACATCCTTCTTTGTTTTGGGTGTTTTCCATTCCAGCACAGCCTGGACCTTGCCGGGATCCATGGCCAATCCCTTGTCTGACAGGCGATACCCCAGGAATTCCACCTCCTTGGTATGAAACTGACACTTCTCCAGTTTCACCCACAGCTGGTTGGCTTGCAGCCTGCTCAACACTTCTCTGACGTCTCTCACATGCTGCTCCTCATTCTCAGAATACACCAACACGTCGTCTAAAAGGGCCACACAATTCTTGTAAAGCAAAGGCCCCAGGACGTGGTTCATAAACGATTGAAATGTTGCGGAGCCTCCTTGTAGGCCGAAGGGCATAACCAAATATTCAAATGCCCCTAAAGGGGTGAACATAGTGGTTTTCCATTCATCCCCCTTCCTTATTCGTACCAGGTTGTACGCCCCCCTTAGGTCCAGCTTTGTAAAAATCTTTCCCTTCCGCACCCTTGTCAAAATGTCGTCAATCCTGGGCATAGGGAAGGCTACTGGTTCTGACACTGCATTTAAGGCCCTGAAGTCACACACCAGCCTCGGCTTGTTCGTGTTTTTCTTATCCACAAAAACACTGGGCTGCCCCCACCGCCCTGGACTCTCTGATGAACCCTCTCTTCAGGTTCTTGTCAATGAACTCTCTTAACTCCTGCATCTCTCTGTCTGACATGGCGTACAGCTTGCCTACAGGGAGCTGTGCTCCAGGGAGTAAGTTGATTTGACAGTCAAAGGGTCTATGCGGGGGTAGTTGGTCAGCTTCCCTTTCGCTGAAGACGTCACGGAGATCTGCATATTGTCGTGGTACCTTCACGTTCTCTGTTACTTCAGTCCCTGCTAGGGTGGCTTGGACCC